CATATAATAAATTCCCATTAATGTTAGCTGCTATTAGTATTGCTATCCTTATAATTACTTTGGAGCAAAAGCAATATATCATGCCATGTACCTTGTAAAATACCCTATTGGGCATTGGTAGAGGTTTGAATGCTGATAGAAAGAATTTTCCTGTAGAAGGTCTGGCTCTGGTGTGTTGGGATCAGCTAGGTAGCCCAGGATCTTTACTAACAGGTCTTAGGACATTATACCTACATGCAAATTTAGTTTGAACTTTTGTTGTTGTTGTTGTTGTTGTTTGGAGGGGGGCGGGATTACTGGGGATTGAACTCAGGACCTTGGGATTTCAAGGCAGGAGGCGGCACCACTGAGCTAAATCCCCACCTCAGTTTGAACTTTTTGCCTGTTAAATTATTTCTTTGTTTGGGTGTGGAACCCAGGGTCTTGCAGATACTATGCAAGTACTTTGCCACTGAGCTATAGCCCAGCCCTTTCCATCAAGTGGAAAGTGCTTTGATGTGTTTCAACCCTTGGAGTTAGGAGCTCAAGCCTATTCTTTCAGTTTGGAATCCGTAGCACCACCAGCAGGCTGATCAGTAAGAGGCTTCATTTTTCTTCCATATGGATGACCCTGATATGTAGGAAAGAGCATTAGACCAGGAGAGCTGAATGCAAGCTCCAGGTCTGCAGCACAAGGATTAACAGTAAAGATAATGAGCTGCAACACTTACTGTGTTGCAGGCCTAAGGTGGATGTGGATTATTGTAGTCTCTTGTGTGACCTTGGGCCAATAACCTTTCTGTTTCTTCATCTCGAAAATGGAGATGACAACACTTAACAGGCAAATTGAGAGGGCAACAAAATAAGGTATGTGAAGATTTTTGGGAAATAAAAGCATCGAGGGGTATATGTGAGCCATATTTTCACCTAAGAGCCAAGATGATAATCAGGGCTTTGAAGAGTCTGTATTGCCCAGAGGAGGGGTGTTGGCAAAGCTCTGGGCTGACGGTGAATTTGATAGCCCAGCTTTGTGAGATCAGAATATGAGGCCCATGGTGGTGCTTTATCTGTCACCTGAGATCTGGGTATCTGTCTCCTGGCACAAATGTGACACCTGTTGCAGGAGAAACAGGCCCTGGCAGCTGGTGCTGTGGGAGGAGAGGTCTGGCCAGGAGCAGAAGGTGTTCACTTACAGAGGGCAAGTGACAAGTGTCAGTGGTTAAATCAGCACATTCTTTAGTTCTGAGTTCCCCCAGGGGGCTAAGCAGTGCCTGGGTATCCGCTGGCAGGATTAATGCAGAGGCCAAGACAGGGGAGGAGGAAAGGTCCAAATATGTGGCACAGTGCCTGGCATGTAATATGCACTTAGTGAATATTAGTGTGGGCTGTGGAGAGGATGGGGGACAAAGCGATGCCCATGGAGCAAGGAGGAGGGCTCACCTATTGCTCTGCCACCACAGAGTTGCTGCTGGCTTACAATCTACTTGTTCTCTGGCCAATAAGTGTGGAGAGAAGAGAGCCCAAGAGGTATGGGCTCCTTGCAGTTTACAGACTCCCAAAGGAGTTGGAATTCACCCCTCTTGACTCCTGAATCCAGAATCCTGAACTCAAAAATTATTAGGAAGAAGGAATGCTCACCAAGTGCTTGCTGTCAGACCCCGTGCTGGGTCTGATGTATGTAATTCGATGCTCACACCGGTCCTAGAGGCAAGTGTTTTTATCCCCTCCATCCAAATGAAGAAATCAAGGCCAAAGAGGTTCAATTACATGTTCAAGCAGTCACAGTTGATAAGCGGTGGACACAAAATCAGGTCTCTCCCACTCCAGAGCCTGGCTTATCTTTCTGTAATCTGCGAAGTCTGCAGAGAGAATGTCCTTCTCCCAGCTAAAGGCTGGGCTGTTACCCATTCCCTGATTCCAGGTATCTCAGAACTATCCAGACACACCTGTGACTGAAGGGCAGGCCCTGGTTAGGTCTAACTTCACTGAACAGCCCCCCCCACACACACACACCATGGGATTTGTCTTGGGTCACAGTGAGAGCCACCTCTTGCCTTCTGTTAAAGAAATATAGAACTGCTGGGCATGGTGGCTCATGCCTGTAATCTCAGCACTCTGGAGGCTGAGGCAGGAGAATCTCTGTGAATTTAAAGCCAGCCTGGGCTACATAGTTCAAGGCCAGCCTGAACTACATACGCTGTCTCAAAAAAAGAGATATAGAACTGCACACTAGCTAACAGTGGTAATGACATATTCCGTACTATTATAATAGAGGAAAGAGACATCAGCATAGAACTCAGCTCAATTCCGAATACAGCAAAGATAGCCGAGAATTTATAGCCAAGAGACCAAAGGAGATAGGGTCAGCTGGTAAACAATTCATAAGAAGATGCACCCAGAGTGGTCATTCATTTATTCATTCATTCATCATCATTATTATTATTATTTTTCCAACGGAGGTCTCACTATGTACCTCAGGCTGGCTTTGAACTTCAGTCATCTTCATGCCTCAGCCTCACGTGTGCTGGAATTGTGCTTAGCCAGCTACCCAAGGCATTCTTGCTGCACTGGCCTAACAGGATTCTTGCTATAGGAGAGGGAAGTGAGAAACTCAGTCAGATATATCTGGGATGATCACTTAAGGGTAGGGAGATTCTTGCTAGTCTGGGCAGGACTGGCCTAGGACAGGGCCCAAGGAGGAGGCCTCCTGAGTAGAGACCTCAGGAGCTGCCTAAAGCTGGGCCAAAGGGAAAGTTTTTGTCACTTCCCAGAAGGTGCCAGGACAAGGGGAGCTGAAGGTCCACAGTGAAGGTCCACTGACCTTAGGGTAGATTGTCTTACCTTTGGTGTGACTTCCAGTAGTCAGAAAATTGGCCTGGAGCTGAAAACCATTCTATGAGAAACAATGTGCTTCTGAGCTGGATGTGATAGTGCATATCTTATTCTAGCTATTCAGGAGGCTGAGGCAGGAGAAGCACAAGTTCACAGTCATCCTGGGTGAGAGCCTGTCTTAAAATAAAGATGAACTTGAGGGGCTGGGGATGTAGCTCAGTGGTTCTGCCACCTGCCTCGCAAGCGCAAGGACCCAAGCTTGATCCCTGGTCCCCCCCCCAAATAAATAAGGACTTGGGGTGTAGCTCAGTGGTAAAGGTACCTGGGTTCAATCTCCAATGCTGCTACCAAAAAAATTGCCCCTGAGTCATAGTGTTGCTCCATTGTGTGTCCTTTCATGGGGCTCACCTGTTCCTGACTGCCAGCTGGCTGGCATGAAGACAGGAGAGACCTTGATGCCAGGGGAGAAATGTTCAGAACACGAGTAACCATGACATCAGCAGAGGCTGAATGTGCAGAAACACCACAGGCACACATCTCCAGCTGAGGCCGCTGCCCCCAGGGCTTCGCAAGTGTAGGTCAGAAAGTACCCGTGGGAGAACATGTAGACGGAGGGACACAGTGCTGACTTGTGGGACAGAGGCCAGTCTAAACCTGGTGACAGCTAGCTCTGTGACTGATTCTGAGCTTCAGTTCCCCCATCTGTGAAATGGGGATATTCATTCCCTGCCTGTCTCATAAGAATCGTAGAATGGTCAGTGAGGTTGTACCTGGGCTTGCTTCCTAAATCCCAAAGGGCCACACCAAGCATAACAACTGTGTTAGTTTTAGGGGAGAGGTAGAGCTTGTTAGAAAAGCATCCCCACCCAGTATTCTCCCCACCTGCCTTCCGGTGTTCTCCCCACCCCTGTGAAGCATCCCAGGTGCACAGTGTCGCTGTCCACCTTCTGTGAAGCCCTTCCCTGTGAGCTGCGATCTTTATTCTGGGTCCGGTTGGCTGGCTAAGTCTACATTGGTGCCCACTTGGGGATCCTTTCACGCTTTTGCTTCCTGTCAACCATTGGCTTCTGGCTTCCTGGAGCCGCACCCCAGCCTCATGTACATCTTGACAGTTGCTAGAGGTAAAGGAGCAGCCCAGGGGAAATATATCTGAACACTGGTTCTAGGGTTAGCCTTGCAACTATTTGCTAAGTGAGCCTAGTTAGTCATTTCACCAGCCTGAGTCCCATTTTCCTTATCTAGAATGTGAACAGATCTCGAAAGCCCAGTCTAACTTTTGATGGCCCAAGATTCTGGTTTATGGCTAACAGTTGGCTTATGGTTTATGGTCCGTTGATTCAAGGCCCAGTAGCCACATCCAGGCCATGTCCTTACAGGAGGCTGTGGCCCTGGAAATAGCTGTGACCTTATCCAGCCAGACTTGACTCTCCCCTCCCCAGTGCAGCCCGTGCCTCTCTGCTCATGTGAGAGTGCACGTGTGCACCCGACAGCTTCCTGCTCCTCCTCCCTCTCACTAGAGTTTGGCTTTTTGCCTTCCCAGATGTGTGCAAGCACATGGGTTCCAGAGCCTTCAGGGTGCAGACTTCCGTCAGTCACATGTAGTCTCCAAATCAATCCAGGACTAGCTGGGCCTCTAACCTGACATTTCCAGAAGTTTATAAATTTGTTTGACAAATACCAAGTCTCGGGCCCACTCTTTCTTGCCTCCCACAGCTCTGGTTCTATCCAGCAACTCTTCGATTAGTGATTGGTGGGGAGGCAGAGGGATCCCCACTCAGTGGGGATCCCCTGCTGCTTCCTTGGAAGGGACTGAGCTGGAAGAGAATAGTGTATTTCCTTTCTCACGTATTTCTCCTCAGCAGCTTCTGGAGAGAAATAGGCCTTCACGGGCAGCTGGCAAAGGCTCAGCCAGTAGTGGATCAGCAGTAGGAGGACTATCTAGTCCGTTTCACGTAAACTGGCTCCCTCTCTGATTAGTGGAAGGCAGTGAATGCTAATGGGCTGTAACCTCGTTTGCTTTCTGTCCTGTCGCTATGCACTGAATTTATAACTGTCTCCTGTCCCATCTGTGTGTGAGGGGGTGAGGGTCAGAAGAGGACTGCCTGTTATCTCCAGCCCCCCCCCCATTTTACAGATGTATAGGCCCTCACATTATATTGACCTTGTTTTTCTCTCTCTTCCTTCCACAGGGTATGCCAGCTGGAGAGAACTAGCCAAGGCTCTGGCCAGCAGGAACATCCCAGCTGTGGACCCAAATCTCCAGTTCTACCGTCCCCAGAGGGTGAACCTCAAGGTATGTGGCAAGCCCTTTTCCCAGCTAGTGTGTTAACATGGGCCCTCAGTTGCCCTGCCCCAGTGGCTGTGAGGGAAACCTCCACTTCTGTAGTGGAATCCTAGTGTGGCATCTGTGATTTCCTAGCTGATTTGGCAGAGATGTCCGTCCTGCCCTTCTCAAAGCCTGGGCTGCACGGGGCTTGGTTGTCCTGTTTCTGCCTTTACAACATCCTTAGAGATGCCTGTCTATGTCTGAGCCTCTCCAGGCACTTGGTCTCCATCTCAAGCAGCGAGTCCTGGAGCCAGGGTGTGGTTCCGTGGTAAAGCACTTGCCTGTCATGTACAAGGCCCTGAGTTCCAGCCCCAGCGCTGCAAATAAAAAACAAAAAAAACAAAACAAACGGCATGCCCCGGATGTTGACTAGGATGTCCGGTTCTTCCTGGCGTAGAGCCTGGATCATACCTTAGTGACAGTACCAGGTATTTGCTGCTGAGAACCAGAGAGAATAAGGTAGACAGACACCCCTTCCTCCAAGTAGCCAGAGGTACAGTTGGTCATGGAGCATCTCCTGGTAATATTTCTTGGGCCGTTGGTTCCTAGGGGTGCAGAATAGTGAAACTGGGATCAAACTCAATCCAGAGCCAAAAACAGACAGGGATCCTCAAGGCTGAACCTGGGGACCTGTGCAGCAGGGTGGGTTCCCGGAATCTCTGGGCCTTCCACTGGGTGTGACAGGGAGTGACAAATCTGGGCAGGGGCCTAGGGGATATAGAGGAAGAGGAAGTTCCTGGTTTAATTTAAAAACTTTTTCCCACACAGGACAGGTTGAGAAAGCTCAGGGGAGTGGATTGACCTCAGGAGCATGCCCTGATAAGCTGTGATGAGCCCTGTGAGAGCCCTGATGAGCTCTCTTGAGGGATGTGGGGTAACTAACAGATGGGAGGGTCCCTTAGGTTACTGAGCTTCCTGTGGCAGGGACTGTGACTTTTGACACCCTCTTGCCCGCAGGTACTTTCAAGGGGCCCTGAGTCATGTCCTTCTGCCCTCAGTTTCTCGCCCTAATATGCCCACTGAGTCCATTCTTCATTCTTCCACTAGGACCAAGAAATTGACCGAAGTGGGAGCAGGAATAGCAGCTACTTGAAGTGGAACAAGCCTGTCCCTTGGCTCTCAGAGGTAAGGGACTCTGCTGGCCCTGTTCTTTGAGAAGGTTAAATTTTCTTCCTTCTTCCCTTCCTCCACCCTTCCTCCACCCTTCCCTTCCTCCCTTCCTTTTTTTCTTTCTAAAAATAATCCCAGAGATCATGAAAACTTTCTTCCAGTGATTATTACTGTGTCGTGTCCCCCTGCCCCCCAGAATTCCATGCTCATTTGATTTTTCTCCCGTAGAGGAAGAGCACAAACATTTTTCTCCAGGCCTACTGTATAGCAGGCTCAGCCTTTTGATCCTGTAAAGTCATCGTGTTAGCTTTCCATCTTGGTAACAAACACCTGATATAAACAACTTATAAGGAAGAAAATTTTATTTTGGCTCATAGTTTTAGAGATTCAGTCCATGGTCCCTTTGGGTCTATGGTGACATAGTGCATCATGGCTGCTCACCTCAGGGCAAACAGGAAGCAGAGGGAAGAAGGTGCTGGGGTCCCAGAGTCCCCTCCAAGGGTACACCCCAGTGGCCTGACTTCCTCCCACTAGGCCCCCACCTGCTAAGGTTCCACCTCCTCCTAGTAGTGCCACAGGCTGGGCACCAAGCATTTGGATCTTTGGGAACAGCTCAGATTCAGACCATAACAGTCATTATCCTTGTTTTATAGGTGAGAAAAGCAAAGCTCAGGAGAAGTTTGTTATCTTTAAGACTTCTATGGCCATGCCAATCCCCGACTTTAAAGATAACAAACTTCTCAAATTGTCTTCCTGGGACCATTAAGTCCTATAAGATGTTCCAGAAGAGAGAGGAATCCATTGTTAAGTAAGCCTTAAAAAAACACAGCAACAACAACAAAAGTGTAGGGTACATCTCCTTGGAAATGGACATTAGCGTATGAAAGATTCTGAGAAGTTGTGCAGCAATCTGGTTAACTTGGTTTTGCTCAACATGTGCTAAACCTATTTGCCCCCTAAATTGTTTTTTCCATGAAATATCAATTAATATTGTATGACATTAGTGTTCTAAGGAATATACATTGGAAATTCTGCTTTAGAAAATGTTTTAGGCAGTAGTTAAGTGTCTGAATGAAAATCATAACTAACTGCACATGATGGTGCCCATCTGCTGTCCCAACTACTTGGAAAGTGCATGATCCCAGCCTAACCAGCATAGTGAGACCCTGATTTTATTTAAAAGAAGAAGGGGGGGAGGGGGAGGAGGAGGAACATTGGGCTAAGAACTTAGCTGAGAGGTAGAGCATTGTCTAACGTGCCTGAGACTGAGTTCAGTCCTCATTACTACAAAAAGGCCAAACAAAAAATAGGCATCATGCTATCCTTTATTTATAGGCTTTGATATTCTTTTTTTTTTTGGTTAAGAGACAGCAGCTCAGGGAAATTAATGATCAAGCACAAATTACTTTGAGTAAATGCTTGTGCCAAGCATAGAGTCATGTGCCAAGACTCTATGGTAGCATGGTGTATTGAGGATGAAAATTTTAACTTTGGTTTTCATATTTTATGACTTGTTTATGTATGTATGTGTGTACTTTGAGAGAGGGTCTCCCTATATAGTATAGGCTTTGAACTTACTATATAGCCCATGCTGGCCTCAAACTTGTGGCGATCCTCCTGCCTCACTCTCCCTAGTGCTGGGATTACAGGCGTGCACCACCATGCCCAGTTTATTACTTGTTTGGAAGCCAGTTTTTTTTCTTCTTTTCTTAATCGTTTAATTTTTTATTTTAATTATAAAATTTTTATTAGTACACATTGGCAATATATCATGACTACATTCCTTGTGGGGAGTTGGTCCATGTACTTAACACATCTTAATTTCTCCTTCATTTATTTATACTTTGGGTTTCTCACATTAGAAGGCAGGATCTTTTTGTCTTGATGCCTGTGGACATAGACTACTTCTCTTGGCTTGGAGGTATGGGCCAGCCTAGTGTCTTTACTTGCCCCTGTCTTGGACGGAGCTCATCAGCCTGGGTGGTTTGGTGTTCAGTCCACTCACTTGCCGTGAGTTGGGAGTGAAGGAGAAAGGACTGTACTCGGAGTGAGGCAAGGTTATCCACACTGGCAAACTGCCTCATTTTAAACCCCCCAAGGGGATGGATTACAACTCTGGCATGCCTGCATGAGGTGATTTCATCAGGTGACTGCACCCCACCCTACCTGGAGACAGTATTTTGAAAAGAACTTGCCTTAAAAATCATCTGGTTTGGTGATCCAGCTTTCTTTCTTTTAAGGGCAGCTTGGATCATTTTTCTTGATGAACTAATTATTTTTAAAGATAGCTACATACCAAAAAAAAAAAAAAAAAGATAGCTACATACCATTCTGTATTTATTAACTAATTTACTCACTTTTTGTCAATCAGGACTATAAATGTATATATGAATATATAATTTTAAAAACCAGTTAACAAATAGTAAGTAGTAATTAAAATAAGATTAACTTTTTCTTTCTTTTTTTTCTTGTGGTACTGGGGATTGAACCTAGAGCCTTCATAGGAGCAACATTCTTGGCCCTTTTTTAAAAATAGTTTTGGGCCGGGGATTTAGCTCAGTGGTTCTGGTGCTGCCTGCCAAGTGCAAGGTCCCAAGTTCGATCCCCTGTACCAAAAAAAAAAGAAAAAATATTTTTTTGGAAACAAGGCCTTGCTAAGTTGTCTAGGCTGGGCTGCAACTTGTGACCCTCCTGCCTTATCCTCAGAGTGTTGAGATTACAGGCGTGCACTCCTGGCTCAAGAAATACTTGAGATTTTAGTACATGTGTGGGACCTTTTGGTGGTAAATGACCAATTTCTGTTGATTTCATTTTTCTATATATTAAAAGTTGCTCAAAAAAGAAAAAAAGTAGCTCAAAAATCTCCATTAGTCTTCATGGATCTCCAGGGAATCACTGATCCCGTGCTTTAGTCTATTTTATTTTGGTGGTGGTGGTGCTGGAACCCAGGGCCCTATGCATGTGAACTTAGGGCTCTATACGGAATCCACCCCAACCCAAGTCCCTTTACTTTACCAGCACAAAGAACAAGCCCCCAGAGAGGTCAGGAAGCTACGGACTCACAGCTTCACAGGGCTCCCGCACTTCAGTCAGTCCTCACCCTGCACATCCTGGGCACCTCAGTGTCCACATCTCCCCACCTGTCTCCTTCCTTTGACAACCATTTCAGTCGTAAGTTCCTAGGTTAGCCGAGTAGATCATTTATGGAACATCCCCCAGCAGTCAGGCGCTCTCAGATTATACTGTCACCCCCTTTCTTTAGGTACTGGCTTAGTGAGGTTGACTTCCTCGCTCTGGGCCATAGCCCTGCTCTAAAGGTGAGCAAGGACAGAATATGGGAAGTGTAGCTGTGGTCTCTTCTTGCACTGTTTCCTCCCCAGGCTTTGGCTGGCCATTCAGTCTCTGGAACGTCTGCTTGGTGTGTTAGAGAGCGACTGATCACATTGGGTGGCTGGGGCCTGGCTTCATGGAGTAGCTGTTCTCAAAAACGTATTCATGGTGAACCGTGGTGGTGCATGCCCATAATTCCTGCTACTTGGGAAACTGAGGCAGGAGCCTTGCAAGTTTGAGGCCAGCCTGAGCAAATTAAACTTGTCTCAAAATAAAAGATAAAAGGGGCTAAGGATGTAGCTCAACCCTAAAGCACCCATGGGTTCCATCCGCAGTGCCACAAAACAAAGCAAAACAACAACAACAAAAGCCAAACTTACTTATACACACCCAGATCACAAGATACTAACAAACCCTAATGCCAACCTATTCGTTTATCAGTCAGTGTACAGATCCACTGACCAAAACACTCATCCAGCCCATTCCCTCCAAAACCCAAAGAGTTACAAGAAAAAATTTGGTGAGTATAGTCAGATCAAAGCAAGTCACAGTGTTTGTGGGTTATTTTTAGGGGTTTTGGGAAGGCAGTGTCTCTCGCCTATGGAGAGGGCAGGGACACAGACTTGTCTTCAGACTTTCCTTTGTCTTCCCCCCCTCTTTCTTTCTTTTACAGCACTGGGGCTCAAACTCAGGGCCTGTGTAATTTTTTGTAGTTATGTTTAGGTATAATTCACATTTCATGCCAGCCACCCATTTAAATTGTGCTTTGTATGCCCACAGATTGTACAGCCATCACAGACAACCTTAGGACATTTCATTTCAGAGAATAAACACCATCCCTGGCCATCCCTGGCCATCCACCCCTCATTACCTCAACCCCCAGGCCTTGGCAAACATTCATCTGCTTTCTGCCTCTGGATTTGCCTATTCTGGACATTCCATACAAATGGGACTGTACAATGTGTGGTCCTGTGTGACTGGCTTTTTTCACTTAGTATGATGTTTTCAAAGTTCGTTCATGTTGAGGCAGATATCTGTGTTTCATTGCTTAATGTGGCTGCGTAAGCTGCCATTGCATAAGACAGCAGAAAGGATGACTTATTGTATTTGTGATACACTAGGCCATGACTGAGGACGGAACATCCCAGGTCTAGGACAAATAGCGCTCAGGTATTGTTCAGGATGAGCAAGGTGACCCGATGGTGATGGAAGGGCCAGATCCATCGAGAGGCAGATAGTAGCATGTGCTCCGCCCACTACACCAGCTCCCTGCCTCTGTGTTTCTGGTTCTGCTCCTTGGTCTCTCCATGGCACACAAGCTAGTACTTTGCTTCGTCCTCTGCTGTCCTTCTCCTTCTGGCTTCAGGCTGCCGATGTACTTCCATCTTCACTTTGTTCTCCTGGCATGAAGGTTTCTGAGGGTGAGAGCAGTAGATCAATAGTTATTTGAGACAAGGTCTCACTGTGTAGTTCAGGCTGGCCTTGAACTCACCATGTAGCCCAGTCTGGCCTTGAATTTAAGATCCTCCTGCCTCAGTCCAACTGCTGGGAATACAGACATGCGCCACCATGCCTGGGGATCCCATTATATTACCCACTCCTCTGTGGGTCGACATTTGGGTTGCTGCTTGCGGCGGTGGGGTGGGGGTTGCTAATTTGAATAATGCTGCTCTGAACATTCATGTACAAGTTTTTGTGTGGATCAGGCTTTGCTGTTTTCAGAGCCCCAAATCACTGCCATCATTGTTTGTCTTATATCCTGTATCCTTTGGTCATGTTAGTGAGATACCTGTGATACATCAAGTTCATTTACGAACCTTCTGTTAGAGTGGGTATATTCACAAGTTAGGATTTCACTAGATGGACTTCTGACCTTCCTCCAACTCGAGACCTATCCTTGTCTTTGTGGCTCCTGGTTCCTTCTATTCTGTAGGGAGCTTTTGCACATCAGGAGTGGATCAGGGCTGGGGTGTGGCTCAGTGGTAGAGGGTTTGCCTAGCATGCACAGGCTCTGGATCCATCCCCAGCACCACCCCCAAAAACACAAAGTAAACCAAGTTTCTCCCAACTCTGAGCAGGAGTCTGCTGTGCTGAGGCGTGCAGCCCAGCCTCTGTTTTTCTGCAGGTGAGGCCTCACTGAGCTGAGCTGCCTGCCAGGTGTGCCGGGTTTATGGGTGTGAAAGTGACTGAGCAGCAGCCTGGCGCAGCAAGGTCAGTTACTGCTCACACTCACCGGGGGCTTCTGACCTTCCCATGTCTGTGTCCTTACAGTGCTGCTTCTCTGTCATCTTTTTTCTTTTGCAATGCTGGGGTTTGAACCCAGGGCCCCCAACACGCTCTACCTCTGAGCCACACCCCCTCTTGCATCTTTAACTGATGCAAAGCACTCAATACTTATAGAATAAATACAAGGACACATTGCTCAGGGATCAGCTTCTGAAAGCATTTGTTCATTCAAGTAATTGAGATTCAAAGAAATGAACACAGGGGCGAGACGCTGTCGACTCTTCCTGGGGAAGATAGAAGGCCTGCATGGGGAATATTTGAGATGAGCTTTGAAGGAAGAGTAGGAGTTCTCCATGTGGAGGAGAAAGGAAAGGACCTTCCGACTAGGAAACGGTGCCAGTGTTTGTAAAAGCACAGAGAAGTCAAAGAGCAGGAATTTTGTGGCAAAGACAGGGAGTTTGGTGTGGGTGGCGGGTGGGTGTGGTCACAGGCAAGGCTGGAAAGGTAGGTCAGTCAGGGAGAACAGCTTCTTCCAAAGCCATGTGCAAGCTGAGGCACCAGAGTGACCTGATCAGGGCTCAGCTTTAGAAGGAAAATTCGGGAGGCAGGGAGGGAACTCAGTGGAGGGAAGAGCCCGAGACCCATGCAGGAGGACCTGCGCAGGGCAGGACTGGCAAGCCCAGCCAGGCGTGCAGCTGGATGACAGGACACCTCTGGTGTGAGGACCCCCAGGCTGGACTCGCCCTCCTGATGTGCAGCCCATTCACCCTGCTGGCCTCCAGAAGTCAGTTTACCCCTCTGAACTGCAATAGCATTACCTCTGAAGTGAGCCTGTTCTAACATATATTTCCTCCAGTACTTTCTCTTCTTTTCTCATACTGGGGAAACGCCTTCACTCGGAGCTACATCCCCGCCCCCACCTTCTCTTTTGAGATAGGGCATCACCACACTGCCCAGCTGGGCTGGAACTTGCCATCCTTCTGCCTTAGCCTCCCAAAGGGCTCAGATTACAGGTGTGCACCACCACACCTGCCTTTCACTGCTTTGAACTGGAAGTTCCGAAACAAAGGATCACTGGCTGGACACATGCCCTGGTGTTTCAAGGCACCTTCCCGGCGCCTTTGCCCTGCTGGACTGGGGAAAAAATAGGCAGCAAGCAGTCTTGTGCTGGATCCCTGCTGGATGTAGTCTCCAACACTCAGAGCAGCACAGGTCACCAGTAGGGCCTGGGTGGAGGGTGCCACGGGTCCCTGAATTACCCTACCTCAGGGTCAGGGGAGCATGGTGGGAAGGTCTGGACCCTGCAGCAGTGTGCCCACCCTCCCTGTCTGCCTTCCCCCAGCACCCCAGCCTCCCTTCCTAAAGCAGAAAAGGTCCTGAGAGTGGGGGCACCCTCCCTGCCCAAACCCCTGTGGCCTTGGCCTGCACCCTTCTCTGGTGACAAGCCTCCACCACTCCTCCTGCTGCATTTCTAGGGATCACAGCACACTGCCCCAAAAGTCTCCAGAGAGGGGACAGAGAGCAGGCAATTTGGAAACGACAACTGAGTCTTATAGACGGGACTTGAGGAATTTCCACACAAGTAGCACAATATCCCCATTCTTTCCTTCCCTGGAGCCTTAGACTGCCTCCCACCTCCTACAGCCCTCATTCCCTGTCCTCCCCCCAGTCCCCCCCCCCATATTCCCGTCAGCCATGGCTGCTTCCCAACACCCCACATTCCTAGCACTGACCAGGCTAATGCCAGGACACACCAAGCTGCTGCAGGGTCAAGGAGTGACAGGCTATCCTGTGTCTCTTCTGGGTCTGGCTATGAGGCTGTGCCCACCCCACCAGCCCACCTTGGACCTCTGCATTCCCCATGCCCTCCCAGCCCTTCCCTCCTCTAGCTCTTGTGGAAGGCTCTTGCCAATCCTTCTATTTGAATGTCATCTGGTGCTCTCTCTGACCTCTGCCCAGTCTTCTTAAGGGCAGCTCTGACCTGATGGGCCGCAGTGGGAGGGCCAGCAGGGCCTGTTTGGGTAGTGTCATGGAGGTTCCATTCCCCACAGCTCAGAAGTGCTGCTGAGGGCAGGGGTGGCAGAGGAGAGAAAGCAGACAGAAGACGGAGTAATCTGAAACTCTGGTTAATTGGGACAACATCCCTGCTTCCCTTTCCCCTCAAACTTCAGCCCTCCCAACCACCCAGAGGGCTGGTCCTGCTATAGCCCTGTCTTCAGAAAGGGGAAAGGGGCCACCAAGCCCAGTCCTGTCCCTGCCCACTACCACCGCTTGAAAGGGGAGGGAGTACACTTCTGCCTCTACCTGTGGCCTGCCCGAGAGGCCTTTGGGCACTGGGAGCAGCAGCCCCTTCCGACCCTGCACTGGGGTGACAGGACGGTTCCCACATGCTTCCAGCAGCCTTTCCCAGCTGCTCCCCCAGGCACGCTGGAGACCACTGGGCGGATAAGGTTTCAACAGTAGACAGCTGTGGAGCTCTCCCTTCCTTAGGCTCAGGGGCGGGGCAGGATAGGCAGCATCCCCCCTCACCCCTATCCCTGAAATCCATCTCCTCTCTCCCACTCCTACCACCATCTCCATCTGCTATGGCTGTCACTCCCTCTCCTGGGGAATACAAGCCAGCCACCTCTTGCAGGGGAGGAACATGAAGGGTGTGTGTGTGTGAGTGTGTGTGCGCGGGCACATGCACCTGCATGGCCAGAAAGACAGAGCCCATCTCAGGGCCAGGCCGTGGGAATTGTGTTGATTAGCTTTCCATCTGTGTGACAAAAATACCTGAGCTAAGGAACTGTAAGGAGGAAAGTTTCAGTCCACGGTCCCTTGTCCCCTTTGCGACACAGTGCCTCACGGTGGCAGAGGCTCCTCACCTCATGGCATCCAGAAAGCAGAGAAAGGAAGGGGCTGGCGTCCCAGAGTCCCCTCCAAGGGCACACCCCAGTGTCCTAATCTCCTCCCGCTAGGCCCCACCTGCTAAGGTAGCACTTCTCCTGATAGTGCCACAGGCTGGGCACCAAGCCTTCACCACCTGTCAGATCCAGTCTGTAGCAGGGCTGAACATCAGTGCCGCAGCTTCACAAGCGAGTAGAGTGCAGCGGGTTGTGGCCTGCCAGAGAGCAGTGCTGGGCTGGGCTGTGGGTCCACAGGGCGGGTGTGGGGCGCATGCTCACTACCTCCCTCCGTCCTGCCCTGCAGTTCCGGGGCCACACCAACCTGCACGTGTTTGAAGACTGGTGTGGCAGCTCCATCCAGCAGCTGAGGAGGAACCTGCACTTTCCCCTGTACCCTCACGTGAGTGCCCGTGGTGCCCCGCACCTGATTCCCTCCACACAACTCCTCTGCCCGCTCCTGTCTCTCGTCTCCCTCTGCCTGTCTCCTTCATCTTTTCTTGCCTCTTTGCTGGTCCGCATTCCTTTCGTTTTCTCTAGGGTCCTCTTTTCTTCTGCCCAAAGTATCTCCCTTGTTTCCTTCCCAGGAGTTCTTTCAATTTCTCTATCATCCACTGCGTCATTTCCCTTGAGGCTCTCATCGTGGTACTTGGTGTAGTTTACCCAGGGCCACCACCTACAGCTGTGTGTGTTGTACACTGTATGGGGTCACTGGGTGAAGTGGCAGTGGGAACTGGTGGAATGTGGCCTGTGCTCCACTCACCCAGCCACACCGCTGATTCTTTCTGTGTAGCTCCTTTCCTGGTTTTCCCATCAGCTCTGAATGAGCCAATTTCCTCTTCCTGCTTCTAGGTAATAATTTTTCCCCTTTCTTGTGATAGATTCGCACAACCCTGAGGAAGCTGGCCGTGTCCCCCAAATGGACCAATTATGGCCTCCGAATCTTTGGCTACCTGCACCCCTTCACCGATGGTGAGGCAACCCCAAAGCCTCATTGTGTTTCCCACCCCAGAGTTTTGAAGGGGAACTCAGAGAACATAACCCTGTAACTGGGAAGTGCAGTCAGCCTGCACTGGGCTGACTGGACCCTGTTGGTCCATCATCAGAGGGAGAGGAGAAACTGAGGCATGCAGGGTCTCATCCAGTTCCCCCAGGCTGATGCTGTACTCCCTTTCTGCAGCCTGGAGTGGCTGGTCTCTGGGAGTCATCTCCATCTTCACATTGCCCCCAATGATCCAGAAACCCCCACTGTGTAGAGAGGGGTCAGAGCATGAAGGCCTCTAAGAATTCAGTACTAAATCACAACGGGGCCTTCAACCCCGAATGCTGTGCCCTCCCTGCTCTCACCTCCACTCTCTTCCCTGCCCACCAGGGAAAATCCAGTTTGCCATTGCTGCAGATGACAATGCAGAATTCTGGCTGAGCCGTGATGACCAGGTCTCAGGCCTTCAGCTGCTGGCCAGTGTGGGCCAGGTAGGTCAGCACAGCCTGACTCTCCCACTGCCCAGGGCTGGTCACCGGGGAGGCACAGGCCCATTGGGAGGCTCCCGTGACTGCTGGGATCACTGATGTGAAGGCAGTAAGAAGCCACCTGCAGGTGCCGCAGAGGGGTGGCCTGGGCCGAGTGAGCAGCACAGTCAGGCCTGGGAGACACTGTCTCTGGGCATGGACGCCCTCTGGGTCCTTCCCACTGGTCTCCTTTCTGCTCCCTCCTCTCCGCTCACTACCTTCCCTGTTTCTTTGTGGTCCCTCCTCCCCATACCTCTAGACTGGGAAGGAGTGGACTGCCCCTGGAGAGTTTGGAAAGTTCCGGAGTCAAATTTCCAAGCCAGTAAGGTGAGTGGGAGACTGGGACAGGCAGGCCTTCTCCCGAGCCCCTTTGGTGCTTCCGGTCTCATGGGTTCAGGGTGCCCAGCGTCCAGACTTTCTGGGTACATGGAGTCTGTGGATTGCAAAAATCTGGCCTGTCCTTCCTCATTTTACAGATGAGGAAACTGAGGCCCAGGAGGGGTATGACACTGAAGCTCACACACCTATCTAGTGACAAGACTAGAAAAAAAGTCTCCTCTCTCCTAGTCCTTGACCTTCCCATCTCCACCCCTGAAACACCCATATCTATAAGAGCCTGGACAGTGCTGCCCTCCTGGGCTGCTAGAAGGCCCTACGGGGAGGGACAGCAAGACCTTTCCCACTTAGAGTTGCTGGCGTCGCTTTAGCACGCTGGGAAGGGGAACTTCTCTGACTTCTGAGCGCCCCCTGGTGGCCGCAGACACAAGGCGACACTTGTGGGACCCACCGAATGTGGGCCCTGAGTCGAGACTGCCAGGGGCCACCACTTACCACTGGGGTGACTGGGTAAATGATCGGAAATGTCTGTACCTCAGTGTCCTCATTTATAACCGGGCAATGGGTTACTTGGACACTGCTGGGAAATAGCGACTCTGTAAGGCAACTGTGGTTATTGTTTCGTGGGGTTCCCTGTTACCCCGTGAAGTAAGTACTCTCAGTGCCCACCTGACAGGAAAGAGCCAAGGCCATGTGTTAGTAAGTGGCAGGGTGGGGGCTCTATCCCTGGGGCTGAATGGCGTGTCCCTGGGTTCCCAGAGCAGGCAGAGGGGGGACAGGGCAGCCCAGCCGAGGTGACAGCGCCCTCCCTGCTCTCCCGCCAGCCTGTCAGCCTCCCGCAGGTACTACTTCGAGGTGCTGCACAAGCAGAACGACCAGGGCACCGACCACGTGGAGGTGGCGGTAAGCACCCTGCCGCCCTGCCCTGCCTGTCCCAGTCCCAGAGCCCTTCCCCAGTGTACACCTCCAATCTCCCACATCCACCCTCTCTCCTCTTGCAGTGGCGGCGGAATGAGCCTGGATCCGAGTTCACCATCATTGACTCCTCTTCCTTGTCCCTCTTCACGAGTGAGTGGAGGCCGGGTGCCCACACGGACTCCGCCCACTCAGGGAGGGAGTGGAGGAGCGGGGGGGGGGGGGGGGCACACCCAAGGTGCTGGGGCAGGGTGAAGGAGGTTCCAAGCAGAGCGGAACCTGGGGGCTGGGTCCTTCACTCTCCAGGGCCCATAACCCCTTTGGGAACGTGCTAGAAGCTCTCTGGACCCTCAGCTGGCTCAGAAAAATGCCCTTCTCCACCCACTTAAGACATTTCAAAAACAACTGCAAGGGGATCCAGGGACTTGAGCCTCACAGGAGACTACAAACCTCGGGGAGGCTGAATGGTGGTGCTGAGTCAGGAGGATTGTCCTGGGCAATTTAGTGAGAGCCTGTCTCAAAATTTTAAAAAAATTTTTTTAAGGCTAGAGATGTAGCTCAGTGCTTCCTGAGTTCAATCCCCAGTGCCACAAAAACTAAACAAGCCAAGTGTGGTGGCGGACTCCTATAATCCCAGCACTCTGGGAGGCTGAAACAGGAGGATCGAAAGTTCCAGCCCAGCCTGGGCAACTTAGGGAATGAGTGAGACCTTGTCTCAAAATATAAAATAAAAGAAGGGCTGGGGTTGTAACTCAGTGCAAGGCTTTGTGTTCAAATCCCGGGACAAGAAAACAAATAAACAGACAAAGTCACCATCAGTGAATCCAGTCCCCTATTTGTAACCATAGTTCAAACACATAGTTCACCTACTTTAAATTTGCAGGAAATGAGCACTTCAGTTGCACTTTTCACTGCTTGTTGCCTCCTCAGCAAGACCCTTATCCATAGGCTGCACCAAAAATTGTGGGGCTAGGGTTATAGCTTAGCGGTGGACTGCTTGCCTAGCATGTGCAGTGCTCTGGGTTCAATCCCCAGCACTGGAAAAAAAAAAAAAAAAAAAGCAGGCGGAGCTAGACCCTCAGGGGACAGTGGGAAAGGTGAGCACCCAGGAGACTGGAGAGACCGTCTGTGTGTGTGTGGTGTGTGTTGGCAAGGCTGATGGGAGAAAGTTGCTGGTGACAAAACAAGAGGCCATGAAGTCAGGGGTAGGCTGTGAGCTGCTGGGGTGGTACGGAGGAAAGAGGGGTGCTGGGAGACACATGTTCAGTATGAGTCAAGAGAAGGAGAAGTACAGCAGAGTTCAGGGGAGAAGCAGTAGGCTGGCCAAGGCAGCCAGCCTGGGCATGGGAAGCAGGGCTCCTTCACTCTTCCTGGGGCTGCAGACAGATGGGTTCTGGAGGCAGAGAGCAAACAGGCAGCCAGTGTCTGGGTGGCTTGGTCAGAACAGGCAGGAGGTCGGTGTGAATGGGCTTGAGGATAAAAAGAGCAGAGGTTGATCCCATGTTCACCATAGACATTGATTTGCGCGCTGTATTTGAGAGGCTCATTGGCTGGGTTCAAAGTTGACTTTCCTACTTAGCATTTCTGTGCTCTTAGGCAGATTACTTAGATTCTTTCTGCCAAAGTCAGTGAAACAGAAATAGTACTGACTGGGCATTCTTAATTTGGAAATTCAAATCTGAAATGCTCTGAAATCCAAAATTCTTTGAACACCTGATGAATGTTTAGATTGAGGATTTTCAACTGGTGAAAGCTTCCACAGATACAATTGTTCCTCAGTTCACGAACTTAATTTGTTCAACAATTTTTTTTTTTTTTTTTGGTACTGGGGATTGAACTCGGGTCCTTGCACTTGCGCAGCAGGCAGTGAAACCACTGAGCTAAATCCCCGGCATTTGTTCAACAATTTTGGAAAGATGGCCACGTTTGTGTTTGTGTGGGAAAGATGGCCGTGGTTGTGTTTGTCACCCAATGTAGAGTTGCAAACAAAATTTTGCCAAATGCTTTTGTTTGTGAGCCACATTGAAACACTTCTGGTTGTAGGCATTGTGGGTAAGGCATACTGAGCCTGTACATAAGTTGTATGATAGCTTTGAAAAAGAAAAGGACTGGGCCGGAAATTTAGCTCAGTGGTTCTGCCACCTGCCTCACAAGCGCAAGGTCCCGAGTTTGATCCCCAGTACCAAAAAACAAAACAAAAAAAGAATAAACGGATTAATACTTATAAAATACTTAGAATGGTACCTGGAGGCTGGGGTGTAGCTCGGTGGTAAAGTGTTTACCGAACATGCTTGAGGCCCTAGGTTCGATCCCTAGCAGGAAGAAAGAAAGGGAGGGAGGGAGGGAGGAAAGGAAAGAAGGATATAAGTGTGGGTTAAATAAATTTAAATATAATGAACAATTTCTATCAGCAGTAAAGTAATTTGAGGAAGAGGTAACTTTTTCCACTTTATGCAAAACTGGGCAGACCCCGAGGCTGGAGGAGGGGTGTCAAAGGGAGCGAGCTAGTGGAAGCCACGGTTGTCTGGGGCTGCGCTAATAGGAAGAGGGACTGAGCTGGAACACAGAAGTGGGGCCCAAGTCCCTTCCTTGTCCCTCAGAGGCAGCAAGCTGGATTCTTCCGGGACTCACAGCTTCCTTCTGCTCTGTCCCCTGGTCCTAGATGAGACTGTCTTAAGGATGGATGAAGTGGGCCACATCCCACAGACAGCAGCCAGCCACACAGGCTCCTCCAGCTCTCTCCCTGTGGATGAGCAGCCTCCGGCCGACATGCTTCGGCCTGATCCTCGGGACACCCTCCATCGAGGTAAGGCCTCTGCTGCATGCTGTCATTCTCTCAGGGGGAGCATGCTTCCATGTCTCTTCGTGTTGATAGGGAAGACTCAGGAAACTTGTTCATTGTAGCACAGTATCCCAAGGGACAGAACCTTTATTTTTACCCTTGAAGTATAAAATATGACAGATATACAGGAGAGTACGAAAGTATTAATGTCCAATTTGACAATTCTATAAATCATTGCAGAGTGAATTTGTGTAACCACCACCCAGGACAAGAAGTAGAATTACAGGGCCGGGGATTTAGCTCAGTGGTGCTGCCGCCTGCCTTGCAATCACAAGGTCCTGAGTTTCATACCCAGTACCCCCCAAAAAAAGAAGTAGAATTAGAATCCAGATGTCCCCACACATCCCTCCACTACAAAAAGTGAGTCTTCAAGAAGATTCCTACTCTTTATTCAACGAGAAATAGGTTGTCTTTTTTGTTTGTTTTTTGGTGCTGGGGATAGAACCTGCGGCCCTGAGCATGCTGAGCATGTGCTGTACAGCTGAGCGACATTCCCAGCCCAGTCATATTTATGTGTTTACGTTTTAAAAGATGACAATGTTCCTTCTTTTTTTTTTTTTGGTACCGGGGATCGAACTCAGGTCCTTGCGCTTGGGCAGCAGACTGCAAAACCACTAAGCTAAATGCCCAGCCCAACTTTCTTAAAAAAAAAAAAAAGACAACTGGAAGCTGCAGGGTGTTTGGGCTGTGGAAGGAAACCAGTCACAGCCCTGCATGAGGAAGGAAGTCTCTAGACCTTGCTGAGGCCAGCCTTGTGCAGTGACTCCGAAGCCATGCTATACCTGTGTGTCCTGTGTCCTCTGCCACCAAGGTGCTCCTTGAATGCCAATTCCCTGGAGTTGGCAGCCTCGGCCCATAGTCGTTGGCTGAAACTTCCAGAGTGAATACAAAAGGGTGGCTTCTCCAGGCCAAGGACCTCAGCCCTTGCACTCAGCAGTGAGCCTGTGTGGCCCCAGCCGGGCCCACCGAGGCTCTCGTCTCCCACCTTCAGTCTTCTTCCCTCATTCTTCCCAGTGCCTCTGATCCCCAAGTCCCATCTCCGCCATGTCCTGCCTGATTGTCCCTACAAACCCAGCTACCTGGTGGACGGGCTCCCTCTGCAGCGCTACCAGGGCCTCCGCTTTGTAAGTCCGGGCCTGGGTATCATGGGACTGGAGGGGGTGGCTGCTTGGGGGTGGGCTGGCCTGGGCAGGGCCTCACTGCCTCAGCCTGGCAGATGGGTGGCCTCACAGGGGAGGGTCCCTGTGCTGGGAGGAGGCGCCCTCCTGAGTGGCCTGACTGGATGAACGGACGGCCTGTCTGTGGAGTCTGGGAATGGGTGCTCTGCCTTAGGACCCCCACCTCCAGCTCTGCTCCAGTGATGTCAGGTAGCCCAGTGACTGCACCGAGGGTGCAGAGGGTGCCCTGTCCTGCCTGTTCAGTCCTACCATGAAGCCAGCCAGTGGCGTTTATTAAACACACAGACAAGGCCCTGAGGAAATGAACCCTGGGGTGACTAGCTTTAGAGAACTTACAGCCTACAGAGGCAGAATGAACATAATCTGTCCAGATCTAGAAATGATCAGGAGAGCTGGAGACAGGAGTCATCAGAAGCCAGAGCATGAGGGGCATGCTTGCAAAGTTTGCTACCTCAAGCTCTGTTTGAGGGAGCAGAAGAAGCAATGTAGTCAGTAAGAAGAGGGATGCTCAGGCTGTAGGAGGAGGTAGGAGAGGGTCAGATGGCAGAGGGGAAAGGGTGATCTCAGGAAGATGAGGTGTGGACTAGGCATCTTGACTCAGGATGATGTCTGAGTAGAAGGGAATCCTGGGGTACGTAACTCAGTAGTTCACCCAGTGCTCCTTCACTGCCCCCAGGGACAGGTCCTTAGAAACCCTGATTAACCCCAGCAAACTGGCTCCTTCCAGGATCCTACCTCTTACTCCTGCTTCTGCATTCTCACCTCCAGATTCATCTGTCCTTTGTTTATCCCAATGACTACACCCGCCTGAGCCACATGGAGACCCATAACAAATGCTTCTACCAGGAAAATGCCTACTACCAGGACAGGTAAGTGGCCCCAGATTGGGTAGAACAGCAGTCAGGGGGCTGCCTGGGCTCTCGCAAGCGGCCACATGTGCCCTCCAGCCCAGGGAGCCTGTGTTCCTCCTGGGCATGTCTCACATGCACAACCATCCATGTGCACGTACACACACACACTCACACTCGCACTGTTTGGAGCCTCCTTGTGCCCAGGACTGAGTCTCGGGGCACCGGTTGCCCTTCCACACATCCCTGTCCCTGCAGGTTCAGCTTCCAGGAGTACATCAAGATTGACCAGCCGGAGAAGCAGGGGCCAGAGCAACCAGGTACAGAGTGACCACTGAGACTTCAGGCTGGGAGGGTGACCGTAGTCTTGTTTCTGGGGAAGTTCAGACCACACAGCCCTGCCTCCAAAGGGCTTAGCACCTAACTACATGGCTCTCCCTGCACTCAAGGGAGTAGAGAACCACACACCCACCCTTGCCTTCTTTACCAAGGTCCATGTAGGGCGTGGCCCTCAATAACAGCGTGCTAGAGTCAGGTGGACTGCTGGAGGCGCTCGCTATCCCTGGCACGCCATTTAAGAAGTTCTGCCATAGAGAAGCCTTGTCTCCCTGTGGGATTTCTTCTTGCTATTAAAGCATGGCTGGGACAGTTTATTGGATCTCTCAAAGGAACGAGGCACTTTGTATATTTGCTGTCTCTCAGTCTTCGTAACAGCCCTCTGAGAGATGGGTTTTTAAAGCCTTTATGTAGATTAAGAAAATGGGGTTAAATTTGGTTATGTAAATTGCCCAGGTTCACACAACAAGTGCCAGAGCCTGCATTTAGCCCCCCTCTGGACCCCTCGCTGTCTGTCACACAGGTGATCTCAGCTGTCTTGTGTATCTTGGGAAAAGGTTGCAAACTCCTGATATGAGGAATGATTATTATTAACAACAGGTTTTGAGGACAACCTTCTAGAAGAATCTCAGTATGAAGAAGTAGCAGAGGAGACGCCTGCCTCCCATGACCAGGACACCAAAACACGAGAGAGAAAACAAATGCCTACCTCCACCCCCAGGCAGGATGTCACTGACTACCGCCTTCGAAGCCTGCCGAAGCTCCTGGCCCGGCCTCCAGGGGACCTGCAGGTGCCCTTTCCCAAGCAGAATTCCACTGCTCCCTTCCCAGTGAGGAGCAGCGACACCCTAGTCCAGCAACCAGAAAAGAGGAAGCAAAAGCTCAGCCCTGTGCCCAGCCAAGACTCACCTCATTCTGACAAGTGGGCCCCTGGGCACCTGGCACAGAACCTACCTCTAATTAAGAGGCCTGAGCCCACAAGAAACAGCCCCGGGAAGACTCCGGAGCAGTCCCAGTGGCTGAAACAAGTGGACTCCTACATCGAACAGCAGAGAAGGGGTGATGAGTTGGAGCCTCTGGCCCCCAAAGAGGGGTGGCCGGAGGAGGAGGAGGTGGCAGCTGCAGATCAGGAGGGACCAGTGGAAGGAGAGGAAGAGGGGGAAGAAGAAGAGGAGGAAGAAGACATGAGTGAGGTGTTTGAGTATGTACCTGTATTTGACCCAGTAGTCAACTGGGACCAGACTTTCAGTGCGCAGAATCTGGACTTCCAAGCCCTGAGGACCGACTGGATTGACCTGAACTGTAACACTTCTGGCAATCTGCTGCTGCCTGAGCAGGAGGCCCTCGAGGTCACGCGGGTCTTCTTGAAGAAGCTCAGCCAGAGGAGCCGGGGGTAAGGTAAAGGGCTCTCTTGGGGCCAGGGCTGGGCCCGGTAGGGCCAGCCTAGAGAGCGGGCCCCTGGTGGCCGGGGGTAGGTTCTCCTGCTACAGGAAGAGAGGGACTTGACCCCCAGCCAGGCTTCTGGGCAGCGTAACCACCTGGTGCCCTGTCCCTGGCTGTGCTCCGCTCCAGTCAGCTCTTTGTTCCACTGTCAGGCAAAGCTCTGCAGTCCTCAGGTGCCTGGTCCAGAACACATGCTGAAGCCTGAAAAGTCTGGTACATGTGGTTTCCTCCTTGGACCAACAGGCAAAGCTAAAGCTAAAGATACAAATGAAGACTTCAGCTGTGGGTTGGAAGGGAGAGGGCAGGAGATGTGACTAGAGTTCTTTGGGTGTTTTTGTCATTCATCCATTTATTCATTCAACCAGTCAACTTTTTTTTGAGATAACATTTGTGTAGCATTAAATTCATCACTTTAGAGTGTAGAGTTGAGAGGTTTTAAATGTGTGTTCACCATTATGTGCATCACCACTCTCTAATTCCAGACCATTTCCATCACCTCATAAGAAACTATCCAGAAAGAGTCCCAGCTCCTGGGGGTGGGATGGGGGACTGAGGATTGTCCGAGCCCAGGAGTTCTAGGTCAGTCTGGGCTCCACAGCAAGAGCCCATCTCAAAAAAAAAAAAAAAGGATTTAAAGGAAACCCCACGCTCATGAGTGGTTGCTTGTCATTCTTCTCTACTCTAGTCCCTGACAAGCACTAATCTACCTTCTATCTCTACTAATTTGCCTATTAGGGACATTTCATGTAAATGGAATTGTAGTAAACCCCCAACTTATCGACGTTTGTAAGTTGGATTTGTTCATAATTTTGACAAAGCGAATCTTATACACACACCTTTGACACAGATATACAGTATAAAGCATAAAAAAACAAATGCACACACAAAAATATGATAAATACACTATTTTTACTTTTACAGTTACCTTAACATGGTAACGTAGACACTCTGTGATTTGTTCACATCTATGAATGTTCATAATTTGAGGTCTGTTTGTATCTGTGAAAGTTCACAAGTTGAACGTTCGTAAGTCAGGGACTTACTGTGTATAATACGTAGCCTTTTATGGCTGGCTTCTCTCACTCAGCAAAATGTTTTTAAGGTTTATCCATATTATGGAATATGTCAAGCACTTCATTCCTTTGTATTTTTGAATAATATTTCATTGTATGGATAAACCAACTGGATGGCACTCCGGGCTACTTAGTGACTTAGTGAGACTCAAAATTTAGAAGAGGGCTTGGGAGTGTGTGAAGGTCTTGGATTCAATTCTCAGTACAAAAAAAAAGGCTGAGGCAAGAGGATCACTGCAAGTTCAAGGCCAGCCTGGGCTATGGAGTGAGTTCAAGGTCAGCCTGAACTACATAGTGAGAGCCTGTCTCAAAAAACAAAACACAGGGCTGGGGATTTAGCTCAGTGGTACCTTACCTGCCTCATAAGCACAAGGTCCTGAGTTTGATCCTCAAACTGAAAAAAAAAAACCCAGAAAGAATCTAAATAAAAAACGAATACTTAAGTTTGTATGACAAGCCAGGCATGGTGGCACATGTCCGTAATCTTTGCATTCAGGAGGCCGGGGCAGGGAACAGGAGGATCGCTGTGAGTTCGAAGCCAACCTGGGCTACAGAGTGAGTTCAAGGATAGCTCGAACTATATAGCGAGATTCTCTCTCAAAACTATAACAACAACAAATTTTATGATGATTCATTTGCTTTTATGATGTTTGATTTCTTTTTTAAAAGGAAATTTATATTCTGAAATGTAGTTAAAATATGTGAGTTCTCAGGCAGAAAGATGTTTAACTTCTCAGGTTGCTATGCTCCAAGTCACACCTTTGTCATAAAGCTGACTCAACACGGTTAGTTGATGTGAATAGTTAATAAATAATGCTATTGACTTAAGTTTTCCTTCAGGGTACTTATAAATTATTTCGGTTCTCCACCAGTCATGTGATGACAATTACAGTACTGGAGATCAAACTCAGGGATGCTCTACCAGGGGGCTGTAACTCCAGCCTTTTCACAGGTATTTTTTACTTCGAGACAAGTTCTCACAGAGTTGCCCAGGCTGGACCCAGACTTTCAATCCTCCTGCCTCAGCCTCCCAAGTAACTGGGATTACCATACCCGCTTGCATTTTCACTTAACTTTTTATTATATTTTTTATTTTTTTGGTACCAGGGATCAAACTCGGGACCTTGCACTTGCAAAGCAGGCAGCGAAACCACTCAGCTAAATCCTCGGCCCCTCTTAATTTTTTATTTTAATAATTAATTGACAATCCATTTTTCCTGGCACTGGGGATTGAATCTAGGGAGCACCAGGCTACCCTCTAATCCTTTTTTATTTTCTTTGAAACAGGGTCTTGCTGAGTTTCCTAGGCTGGCCTCCAGCTTTTGATCCTCCTCCTCCCTCAGCCTCCCGAGCATGTAGCCCCACACTAAGTGTCATATTTTTACTTTTAATTGACCCATGGTAACTGTGCAGATTAATCAAATGTGAAACAACATTTTAATACGCCCATACAATGTGTCATGATAAGGGCAGGGAAATTGGCATATCTGTCACCTTAGACGTTTATTGTTTCTTTGTGTTGGGACCATTCAAAATGTTGTCTACTAGACATTTTGAAATAATCAATAATCTTTTCCTACCATAGCTACATGACTGTGCATTAGAAGTTATTCCTCTTATCCAGCTGCATCCCTGTATCTGTTAAGCATTCTGTCTCCATCTCCCCCTTCCCTACACCTTTCCTGGGCTCTGGTAGCCACTGTTCTACCCTCTGCTTCCATGAGATCAACTTTTTAGCTTCCTCATGTGAGTGAGGACATGCTGTGTTTGTTTTTCTGTGCCTAATTTACTTTACTTCGTGTAATGTCATCCAGTTCCATTCACACAAGTTGCATTCATTCCTTTTTATTGCTGAATAGTATTTCTCTCTCTGTGTGTGCACACGTGTGTGTGTGTGTGCGCACGCATGTGTAAACCTACCACATTGTTTTTATCCACTCATCTGTCAGTCGATGCTCTGGTTGATTTGATATCTTGGCTGTTGTGAATAGTGCTGCAATAAACATGTGAATCCAGGTGTCTCTGACATTACTGACTTCAGATCTTTGGATATGTACCCACTAGTGGGATTGCTGGTTCATATGACAGTTCTAGTACTACTTTGGGGTTTTTGTTTTGCTTTGTTTTAGTTTTTGGTTTGGTTTAGGTTTTGGGTTTTTTGTGGGGTTTATTTTTTGGGGGGGAGGATTGTTTGCTTTGTTTTGTTTTTAGTACTGAGTATTGAACCCAGGGACTTCACACTTAGTTACTGCCCAAGCCTCCTTTTTTGATTTTTTATTTTGAGATAAGATTTTTTTTTCAACTTCCTATTTTTATTCACTTCATTCAGAATTGTCTAAAGACGAGAGTACAAAGATGAATAGCATATAACCCTGAATTACATGTGATTCTTGGCCTTAGGGAGCTCACCTTCAAGAGGGATGAGAGACTGTCCATTTTATTACAGCACACTAATCACCGACATTGTTTTTCTGAATGTTAAATCCGTACATCATTAGAGAAGATGCATTTGAAGTAGGATATATTATCTGAAATGTATACTGGTATATATAATTATATTATGCAACGTTGTTTTACCTTGGACTCCTATAAAACGTAGCATAGAGTGAGTCATTTAAACAATAAGGATTTACTTTCTCATGACTCTAGGGGCTCGTAGTTGGAGATGATGGTGTCCACATGGTCCTATCTGCTGAAATCTTATCTCAGCTCACCTCTGGCTTCTTCTCCTTGCGGTGTCATGGGCCCTGTCCTCAGCTGTGAGCCTTGGGCAGCCGTAGCCCCCGCTGCCCGGAAGCCTCACTAGGTCACTAAACTGGCCAGGCTGGGCTCAGACTTGTTCATCTTCCTCCTCAGCCTCTCCAGAGTCCTCGTATTACAGAAGTGTATCACCCCACATTTATTTCTAGTTTTTGAGGAACTTCCACACTGTTTTCCTCAATGGCTGTACTACTGTACTTTCCCATCAACAGTACGAGAGTTCCTCTTTCTCCGTGTTCTCCTCTGCATGTTTTTGTTTTTGTTTCTTTTTGACACTGTGGTTTCGATTTGTATTTCCTTGCTAATTGGTGATGTTGAGCATTTTTTGTTTTGTTTTGTTTTGTTTTGGTACCGGGGAATCGAACTCAGGACCTTGAATTTACAAGGCAGGCAGTGGCACCACTGAGCTAAATCCCCAGGCTATGTTTTGTTTTGTAGTACTGGGAATTGAATTCAGGGGCCTTTGCACTGGGATATATACTTAGGCCTTTTGTTTTAATATATTTTATTTTGAGACCAGGGCTCACCAAATTGCTAAGTTGCCCAGGATAGGCTCAAATTTGAAATCCTCCTGCGTCGGCCTCTCAGAGTGCTAGGCTTACAAGCATGTCCCCCCAAGCCTGGCTGAGCTTTTTCTTTATAGAATCTTTGGCTATTTGCATATCCTCTTTTTAAAAATTTATTTTGCTTAGTTTTTGAGACAACATCTCATTATATAGCCCAGACTGGCCTTGAACTTGTGATCCTTCTACCTCAGTCTCCCAGCTGCTGGGATTATAGGTATGTGCCACCACCCCCAGCTGTGTATCCTCTTTTAAAAACTATTTATTCACACACGGGCATGGTAGGACATGCTTGTAAACCAGAGCACCCTGGGAGGCTGAGACAGGAGGATCACCAGTTTGAGTCCAGCCTGGACAATTTAGTGACTTAGTGAGACCCTGTCTCAGAATAAAATATAAAAAGAGGGGCTAGGGACATAGCTCAGTGGTAGAGTGTATCTGGGTTTGATTCCCAGTACCACAAAAACAAATAACAAAAGAGAAATGTCTATTCAGTCATTTGTGCACCTATAAATCAGATGACTTGTGTTTCTCTGTTCAGTTGTATAAGTCCTTTTGTTCGCTGGATACCCTGGATGTTGATCTCTTGTTTGATAAGTTTTGCAAATATTTTCTCCCATTTTTGAAGACTGTTGCATTACACTCTTGAATATTTCCTTTACTGTGTAGAAGCTTTTTAGTTGGATGTAATTCTGTTTGTCAACTTTTGCTTTTGTTGCCTGTGCTTTTGGAGTAATAGCCAAAGAATCTTTGCCTCATGCAATGTCTCAAAGTGTTTCCCCTGTGTTTTCTTTTAGAAGTGTCATAGTTTCAGGCCTTACATTTAAGTCTGATTCATTTTGAGGTTGCTTGTGGTTTTTTTCTGGTACCGGGGATCAAACTCAGGATCCCCGCTTGTGAGGCAGGAGCAGTGCCACCGAGCTAAATCCCTGGCCCTTGAGGTGGTTTTTGTCCTGGTGGGAAATAGGGGTCCAGTTTTATTCTTCTGCACATGCATATCCACTTTTCCCAGCGCCCTCTGTTGAAGAGATGGTCTTTTATCTAGTGTGTGTTCTTGCCATCTGTGCTGGATTTATTTCTGGGTTCTCTATTCTTTTCCATCAGTCTGTGTGTCTGTTTTTTATGTCACTACCATGCTGCTTGTGGTTTTGACTACCAGTTATCTAGTGACTGACGTTGAGCCAACCATTCAACATTTATATGATAATGCATTAGGTTTTACAGACTTTTATTTTATTTATTTTTTTTGGTACCGGGGATCGAACTTGGGTCCTTGGCTTGTGCAGCAGGCAGCGAAACCACTGAGCTAAATCCCCGGCCCTTTACAGACTTTTAATTTGAACAGAGCACTTTTTTTATGGACGGTCGGTTTCTCAGTGAGCCTCTTCACTGTGACCCCTCTTACTTGCCTCGTCAATCAACTCGGGATCTTAGAGCTGCAAACGTGCATGGAAGGCCAGGATTTAGCTCAGTGGCACCGAGCCTGCCTCTCAATCTCTCAATCGCAAGGTCCCGAGTTTGATCCCCGGTACCAAAAAAAAAAAAAAAAAGCTCATGGAGACGTCACACCTCAGTAGCGCATTTCTGAAGATGGAGGCCATGAGATGTAGAGAGGTTGAGCATTAGCCTGAGATCCTACCCCTAGCCAATGGCAAAGCTAGGACATAAAGGAGGGTCTCCTGACAACGGGCCTGTAGGCTTCCAGCACAATGGCTGCCCTGGCACTGTGGGAGTCGTTACTCACACCCCACTCTGTGCACCACAGGAGGTACCAGCTGCAGCGCATTGTGAACGTGGAGAAGCGGCAGGACCAGCTTCGCGGGGGTCGCTACCTCCTGGAGCTCGAGCTGCTGGAACAAGGACAGCGCTCGGTGCGGCTGTCTGAGTACGTGTCCACGCGAGGCTGGCAAGGCGTCGATGCGGCTGGTGCGGAAGAGGCGGAGCCCCGGAACCTGCAGGGCCTGTTCTGGAACCTACACCCCCGGCGGCGGAGGAGGCGTGTCCTGGACGTCCAGGATCCCGAGCCCAAGCTGTGCTGGCCCCAGGGCTTCTCCTGGAATCACCGAGCTGTGGTCCACTTCATCGTGCCCGGTGAGCTCTTCGGGGCAGTAACCAGATTGTTTTCCCTGATTCGATCTCCCGTAAGAGAGGAGCTGAGGCTCAGCAAAGAAGGAAGGGCAGAGCTAAGACTAGACAGTGACGGGAAGGCTGGAGCGCCTTCATTCAGACTAGGTCTCACGGTTGGGCGTGATCGCCACCTGGGGTTATAGTTGAGGAAATACAACACAAAGAATACTATATAGAGAGGGCCCGGGATTTAGCTCAGTGGTACCTTACCTGCCTCATAAGCACAAGGTCCTGAGTTTGATCCTCAAACTGAAAAAAAAAAACCCAGAAAGAATCTAAATAAAAAACGAATACTTAAGTTTGTATGACAAGCCAGGCATGGTGGCACATGTCCGTAATCTTTGCATTCAGGAGGCCGGGGCAGGGAACAGGAGGATCGCTGTGAGTTCGAAGCCAACCTGGGCTACAGAGTGAGTTCAAGGATAGCTCGAACTATATAGCGAGATTCTCTCTCAAAACTATAACAACAACAAATTTTATGATGATTCATTTGCTTTTATGATGTTTGATTTCTTTTTTAAAAGGAAATTTATATTCTGAAATGTAGTTAAAATATGTGAGTTCTCAGGCAGAAAGATGTTTAACTTCTCAGGTTGCTATGCTCCAAGTCACACCTTTGTCATAAAGCTGACTCAACACGGTTAGTTGATGTGAATAGTTAATAAATAATGCTATTGACTTAAGTTTTCCTTCAGGGTACTTATAAATTATTTCGGTTCTCCACCAGTCATGTGATGACAATTACAGTACTGGAGATCAAACTCAGGGATGCTCTACCAGGGGGCTGTAACTCCAGCCTTTTCACAGGTATTTTTTACTTCGAGACAAGTTCTCACAGAGTTGCCCAGGCTGGACCCAGACTTTCAATCCTCCTGCCTCAGCCTCCCAAGTAACTGGGATTACCATACCCGCTTGCATTTTCACTTAACTTTTTATTATATTTTTTATTTTTTTGGTACCAGGGATCAAACTCGGGACCTTGCACTTGCAAAGCAGGCAGCGGAACCACTCAGCTAAATCCTCGGCCCCTCTTAATTTTTTATTTTAATAATTAATTGACAATCCATTTTTCCTGGCACTGGGGATTGAATCTAGGGAGCACCAGGCTACCCTCTAATCCTTTTTTATTTTCTTTGAAACAGGGTCTTGCTGAGTTTCCTAGGCTGGCCTCCAGCTTTTGATCCTCCTCCTCCCTCAGCCTCCCGAGCATGTAGCCCCACACTAAGTGTCATATTTTTACTTTTAATTGACCCATGGTAACTGTGCAGATTAATCAAATGTGAAACAACATTTTAATACGCCCATACAATGTGTCATGATAAGGGCAGGGAAATTGGCATATCTGTCACCTTAGACGTTTATTGTTTCTTTGTGTTGGGACCATTCAAAATGTTGTCTACTAGACATTTTGAAATAATCAATAATCTTTTCCTACCATAGCTACATGACTGTGCATTAGAAGTTATTCCTCTTATCCAGCTGCATCCCTGTATCTGTTAAGCATTCTGTCTCCATCTCCCCCTTCCCTACACCTTTCCTGGGCTCTGGTAGCCACTGTTCTACCCTCTGCTTCCATGAGATCAACTTTTTAGCTTCCTCATGTGAGTGAGGACATGCTGTGTTTGTTTTTCTGTGCCTAATTTACTTTACTTCGTGTAATGTCATCCAGTTCCATTCACACAAGTTGCATTCATTCCTTTTTATTGCTGAATAGTATTTCTCTCTCTGTGTGTGCACACGTGTGTGTGTGTGTG